GACACGGAAAAAGACAAAAAAAAAAAAAAAGAGAGATAGTTCAGAAATATGTGAAAAATTATAGTTCAACAATTAACCATGAGAGGTGTACACAGAGGGCCTCACGGACCCACCAGCTGTTGGAAGAGAAAGTAGGAAGTACCACATTGTGTTTGGACTGGAGGCTTGACCACGCCTTCCTACACAGAAGTTTGAACACAGGAGATATGTAGGAAGTTTCAGAAACTTCAGGAATTAATAATTACACGTTTATTTGTAATTTCCTTGGTCCTTCCCCAGACAACTCCTTCAAATAGCAAATTTTATTATGGGTTTGCTGTCCTGCACTGTGGGACTTTGATGACTGTCATTAATAAGAGTTTTCAAGGTGATTTTTTTTTTTCCATTTGGCCTGAAGCCTTTTCAGGTGGGTAGATGGCTTTTCAGTGCATTCTTTGTAACTATTGTTTGGTAGTGCCACTTGTTTAAGGGCTCTGTGTGGTTTAGTTGGACTGGTATAATATAATAACTTGTCCAGTGGTAATTTCACCTTAGAAGGATGCTACTTAGATTGAAGGAAAGAGACAGGGCAATTAAATGTAATGTATGATTCTGAACTGGGTCTTTTTGCCAAAAAAAACCACAAGTGGGCAGTTGGTAAAATGTGAATCGGGTCTGAGTCCGGGGTGCAGCAACAGACCGTGGCCCCATTCCTGATCTGGGCGCTTATACCACAAGTGGGCAGTTGGTAAAATGTGAATCGGGTCTGAGTCCGGGGTGCAGCAACAGACCATGGCCCCATTCCTGATCTTTTGGTTTTGCTTACTCTGTGTGGGTGAGAGTGCCTGGTGTGTAGGAATATACACAGTGAGCTGTGGCAGGCACCAGGTTGGCAGCTTATTCTCAGATGGTTTGAGCGGGGAAGCTCTTGCACTGTGCTTGCAACTTTTCTGGGAATTTGAGATTGTTTCAAAACAAAAAAAGAGTATATTGCTCAAAATTATTAGGCTTTCCCACGGCTTTTTAAACATTTATAACCTTAAAATACTTGAAATCAGAAAGAGACATTATTCCTCAAGAAATTTAAGAAGCCCTGAAAGGAAAAAAATGATTTAAAAATAGAGTGTCCTGAAACAGATAAAACACATTTTCCTGGTCGTGATAGTCTTGAGACACCTTATGTATAAAGTGTGGCTTAAAAAACAGCATACTTAGGGGGGCTCACTCAAGTGTTTGTGCGATCACTCATCACAGGCTTTGTTCTCCACAAGTCAGAAAAAAATCCTCTTCGCCTGCCTTCATGTTTGCCTTTTAACAGCATAAAATATTTGGAAATAAAATGCAAAATCTTGGGTTTTTTAGGAATATATTATTTTACTACAGATTAAGGATAATTTTTTTTACTTTTAATTTATGTATTTGCATGTACAAATGCTTGTACTTTATTTAAAAATTAGAATTACTGACTTATTATTTCATATCAGCGGAAATAGGAGATTATGATGAAACCCTGGATCGAGAGCACCTCAAAGCCAACGAGTACTTGCCCAGCCAGGCACACTCTGTTGAGAAAGTACTAGAATTCCATCGGAAGCACACGTAAGTCATTCGGCATTGACTGTTGGCACACTGTTTCTGCAGTGATGACTGAATAGTGTGTAATAGAAAGGGAACTATTGTGAAGGCTTCTGCAAGATTCTGGCTGAAGTGGCAACTGTTGCTCCCTGGTCTCAGGCAGTGGCTTGGCTGACAGAGAGGTTGCAGCCCTGACTTAACGTGCAGTCCTGCCTGCAAGATGTGCTGCTTTGGGAAAGGCTGGAAAGGACGTCAGGGCCTGGGAAGGAGGGTGCTAGTGAGCAGGACATGTGGTGCTCCCAGCCAGGACGTGGGCTGCTACTTGGTCCCTGCGGTGTGGCAGGAGTCATCCTCTCTTGTGAGCAGCCCATGCTGTGGTGAGGAGGTTGGCATTGTATGTGTGCCTGTGTCAGATGTTGGGAAGCATGCTGGCAGCTGTGTTCTTTGGCTACGTTTTGATCACAGGTGCTTTTTTCTGGGTTGACCTTTGGGAAGAGTGCTAGGGGAGGAGGGATTGAAGAGTTAAGTGGGAAAGAAAGGGCCATGGGTTCTGGCAGAGGTGGCTGGGGCTTTTATTCACCAGAGAGAGAGTTTGACTGGTGAGAGTTATTCTGGAAGACTCAGCCCTGCCTTGTGAAGGAGCCTGTTGAGAAACAAGTTTATTTTGTCTGATAATGTCATGCAGGGAAAGCTATACTGGAACCCACTCATGCCTCCTCTTTCACACCTTCAGCAAAGTGTGAGTGCCACCTACGTATCACCCACTGCTGTCAGCACTAGGGGTCGATTTGAATGGCGCAGACCAAGATTTCTACCCTCCCGGGTCTTACCTCCCCTGTCAGACTGTATGTGGGTTTTGTGCATTTTACCACTCACAGTACTGGGGGGGTGTGTTTTGTGTGCCTGGGTTGTGGCAGGCACTGGATACACGAATATATCCCTGCAAATGAGAATATGTGGAGTATAGAAAATGCACAGCTCATGCACTGTGAGCCCGAGTGACAGACAGTGCATACCGCAGTGCAGTGAGGATGCAGGAAGGGTCAAGAGGATGCATGAGGAGGCTCTTTGAGGAATGAAGTAGTCGGGTGGGGGAGGAGGCATTTCAGGCAAAGCACCAGCCTGGAAAGAGAGGGAGGGGAGGAGGTTCCAACATGACATGGTTCTGGTTCAAGCACTGGAGCAAGTAGACTTACCAGCTGATACAGGCGGCACTGTGTTGGCGATTGCAGACAGTGCTTATAGCTAGCCAGACGCTGCGCCAAGCATTCGCATGTGATCTGTAAGTATCCCTGTGGGGCATGTGCTGTTATTACCCATTTCGTGCATGATGAGACTGAGCACGCAGGGCTCCGTCTAGGATGCAATGGTGGAGGCGCCTCTTGTGTGTCAGGCAGTGCTTTTTGCGAGAGTCCACATGCCTGGTCTGATCTTGAGGAAGCCACTGTCTCAGTGGGGTCTCAGAGCTCTGGCTCTGTTTTCCCAGATGCCCTGTGCTTTGTCTCGTTCAGGCGTTGCCTTTATTCTGTCTGGTAGCAAGCAAGGTGCAGCTGTTGTGAGTGTCACCTCCACACCCTGATGACCCACAGAGCAAAAGACCCTCTCCCAGTGTCAGACTGAGTCACTTCCATCCCAGCAGGAGACAGTCACTGGTTCAGGATTTGTTTTTAGGGTTGGGGACAGGTCCCTCCCTGCTGAAATGCACAGAGCAGGTGCTGGACGCCTTGAGGAGGGATGGGTTGGGCTCACTGCTGTGAAGCATCAACTTAGGTGACAGCCCGCAATGGACAGGCGGATTTGGGGTATGGGGAGTTGTTGGCGTGTAGGCTGCATGAACCTGTGCAGTGGGTGAGATCAACTAGGAAGAAGGTAGATGGAGATCAGGAGAGAGAAGAGCCCAGGGTGAGCCCCTGAAAAGCTAGCCTTGAGCAGCTGAGCAAAGGAAGAGGCACCCACGGGCCTGGCAGCCAGGAATGCAGAGGACACAGGCGCCAAGAGACCAGGAAAGCAGCTGTAGCTCCTCGGATCAAGGTGCACCCCCAGGCCCAGGGAGGAAAGGACAGAAGTGTGTGTACAGGCCAGGCAGTGCAGTGGTGCCTGTGGCCTTCAGCAGCTTCCATGAGTGCTCGGGGTGGACTCCAGGTCCACGTACATGGAAAGTGAGGTGAGGAAATGGTGACAGCATGTGTGAGCAGTTGTACTGGAAAGCCGCCTGTGGGAGGGAGCAAACGCTAGACATCAGGGACGGCTGTGTGTGCGCCTGTGTAGGTTCACGTGTGTGGGGGTGTGTTCCTGTGTGTGCTGTGATTGCCTTGTGTTCATGTGTGTGCACGTGTGTTCATTTGCATGTGTGTCTGTAACATGTCTGTGCCTTCTGTGTGTTCATGTGTGCACCTTTGCGTGCTTGTGTGTATGGCTCTGTGTGTTCCTGTGCATGCATTCTGCCTGTGTGTGTGTGCATGTGTGTTCCTGTGTGCATGGCTTGTGTTTTTATGTGCCTGCACTTGTGTGTTCATGTGTACATCGTGTACTGCAAGTGCATGCACACTAACATGCTTGTGCCTTTGCCTGTGTGAGCCTCTGTACCTGTGTCTGTCTGTCTATCTTGAGAGGTGTATGATTTAAAGACTAGAAAGCCAGTGAGGGACAGATGAGTCGGGTGGTCTGCTATACATAGGAATAGAATTAGACTCCTCCCAAGCAAGCCGAGAAGCAGTAAGCTCAGCTCTGTCCCTGGGCACTCACTGTGCAGCACGCTGACTTGGTCACCACAGTCATCAGAAATTCACTGCACATACCTTATTTCTTTTAGTCACTCTTTGTGTAGGTTTTTTAAAGACAATATTGCACTTCCATTTTAATCTTACGCTGACTTGGTCACCACAGTCATCAGAAATTCACTGCACATACCTTATTTCTTTTAGTCATTCTTTGTGTAGGTTTTTTAAAGACAATATTGCACTTCCATTTTAATCTTTGTAAATGTCTTACATTGTCTTATGGTTCTTCATGACCCACTGGAAACACCTCTGTAATCACTAAGCAAGTCGTTTTTCTCAACTTTACCCATTTCTTTTGGATCTTTGAGACTGCAGAAAAAGATTTGAATGTTGACTATTCAAAGTTGGAGGTGCGTAGTGGTCACTGGTGTTTCTGTAGATGTACAAAGTTAAGATGGAAAAAAAAGTTAAATGTTATCTAGCTCTTCTTTTGAATGGGACTTTCTAACTTCTGAATATTTCCAAAGTATATCCTGGGTTTCTTAAGGCACATGTTTTCTTCAGACACCAAATTCATGATATCTCTCTATAAGTCATACTGCCTATATACGTTCAAAAAGAGAAACTCGTGTTTAGAAAATGTTCACTGGTGGCTTTACAAATAAGTGAAACTCCCGGAATTAGGACTTCTTGTAAAGCAGTTGTGACACCCACTATGTGTTACTTCTTGATGATGATGATTTATTAAAATTTAAGTTCGCAATCAGGTGCCTACAGAGCATTCAAAGAATGGAAATTTTAGTCAGAGTGGACATCATGGGAGCAGCATAACCCAGACAGTTGCATTATTCCTTAAATATTCTAAAGTTCCTGCATTTGGAAGTATGAAGGAAGAGAGTTCTTAATGGGAGATCCCATGTGTAGAGTCCAGGCACGGAACATGGGGCCCTACAGAGGCATCTCCCTTTGCACCAGCTGCGACTGCACATGGGCATCACTCTCCTGGAGGCTGTTCAGTGTGTGCAGACCGTGCTCACTTTCCGCTTCCTGGTAGCATGACCATGGACTTGATAAACATGTTACATGCTGGGAGTAGGCCTTTATGTGGATAAAACCAATTGTTTTGGCAATGATATTTTTATTTGATGTTGCAATTTCATTCTTATAAAAGTATATTCTATTGGCTAAAATTGTACATTATGAAAATACTTTTTATAGCATTAAAATGGGTTTAATAAGACAGTGTTATCGGTGGTATTGCCTCTGATTTAATGTTTACCTCTGCATATAATGTTTGCATATTACCTTGTCACTATCAAAAGAAAATTATAAGGCTGAGTATCCAGTGAATCCAAGGAAACATTCTACCCTTTAGGAAGTGGGTAACAGAATAGAAGGACAATTTCTCTGGGCTGCACGCATGGCATGTTGTTTTTGTAGTAGATAAATATACAGACAGTAAATGATCTCTGAAAACACTAAATACTCTCTGAAAACACAAAGCCTTCATTGTGGGTTTATTGTATTTTGTCTTGTTTACCAGATTACTTATATAATGCATTTTGGCTCTTTCAGAAAGAGTATTTTTAGTGATGTGATCATATATCCTTCGTTATAGAGGCCAGACGCCCGCCGAGTCTGATTTCCAGGTGCTTGAAATTGCTCGAAAGTTGGAAATGTACGGCATCAGATTTCACACAGCTTGTGACAGGGAGGGGACCAAGATTAACCTGGCAGTTTCCCACATGGGTGTCCTTGTGTTCCAGGTAGGCCAGAGGGGGCAGGGAGGGGCAGGGTGGTGGTGTACTGCGACTTGGTGGGATTTGTCTTTACGTATGTTGGAAAATGTTTGTTCTGATGAATAAGGGCTTGGATTCGGAAGAGGAACTCTGCATGTCATCTGATTTGGCCTCTTACCCAGTAGAGAGATTGTTTTCTTGTCCTTCCCTAGCACAAATGTGATTGTCCTTGCTGACATGGAGCCCACTGCTTCTTGGGACTGACCCTTGTCCCTCCTACACCACCCACTGTCCCCTAGCGTACCCATTCACTCTCATTCTTCCTTCTAATTTTTAACTGAAGGTCACCCTCTTAAAATCTCAAACTCCAGCTCTGGCTCTTCCCCGTGGAGCAGTCTCTATGCTGTGGGGTGTGAGAGCTGTGTAATGGCACCCAGTCATCATTTGAATAAATGAAGGAGAATATACTAGAAAATATCAGAGAGCACTGCATATGATAGAGTCAGTGTCATCTTATGGGAGGCCCTCCATGTCTTAGCCCCTCCGGAATGCTGGCCAGGCTGATGCCTGGAGACAGGAGACTGCTCTCTGCAGAGTCCAGCCAGCCTGACAGGGAGCTCTGCTGGTGTTCCCACCAGCTGACAAGCCCTACACACAGAGAAGCCCACCAGCACTTTAAAGCCTCCCCTGTTAAAGGCTTTCATTTGGAAATACTTTCAAACATACAGAAAAGCTGTAAGAATTAGACCAGCAGAGAGCCCTCTGCCTGCTCTCTCCCCCTGCCTCTCACACACGCACACGTTTTCTGAAGCATTTGAGGACAAGTGCAAGCATCACGGCCTTTCACCCCAAGTATTTATAGTGTGTTTTCCTGGGAGTAGGATATTTCCTTACGCAGTCCCAGTACACTTATCGCTGATACCGTTGGGACCATCCTTTTATCTAGTATATCATTTACTTTCTAATTTTGTCATCAGGCCCAGTGATGTTCTTCATAGTTTTTGTTCTCCCCCAGGACAGGATCCAATCTAGGACCGGACGTAGCATTTAGCTGTCTCGTCTCTACTTGCCTCGAATCTGGAACGTTTCCACAGCCTTTCTTTCTTCTTTACCTTTTATGATATTGACAGTGTTAAAGAATAGTTCCTTTTTATTTTTAATAGAATGCTCCTCATTTGTGGCTTGTGGGATATTTCCCTGGGATTAGACTCAGGTCGTGTATTCCCAGCTGGACCCTACCAGTTAATACCATGTCCTTCAGGGCATCACACCTGGAAGCTCCCTGTAGTAGTCCATTTCTGTTGCTTATAACAAAATACCTGGAACTGGATAATTTATTAAAAAACAAAATGTATTGCTTACAGTTTTGGAGGCTGGGAAGTACAAAGTCCAGGGAACACATCTGATGAGGGCCTTGGTGGTGGTGACAGTGACCCAGGGGTCTCACATGGCAGAGCAGAGTGAGAGAGAGAGACAGAAGGACTCTCATGTGTTCTCCTTTAAAAGCCCTCAGAACCACACCCCTGACCACCGTTATTAATCCATTCAGAATCTAGTCACCTCTTCAAGGCCCCACTTTTCAATTGCCATAGTAGGATTTCCCACTCTCCACAGTTACAGTGGGGATTAATCTCCAGTCACTTAAAACTTGGGGGACACAGTTCAATCCATGTCACCCCTGATGGCTGTCTGTCCTCACTGGTGATGTAATCTTGATCCCTGTGTTTTCTAGTTCTTCCACAACATAGTTAATAATTTTTCTCTTGCAACCGATAAGCAATATGTGGAAAGACACTTTAAGGCCATACAGACATCCTGTCCCTTGTCACACTTCCCCTAGATTTAGCATCCACTACCGGTCTTTGCCATGATGGTTATAAATGTTAGCACTCCTAGAGCCTCCCTTTAATACACACCAATAACCAAGGAGCACCAGATGTCTGAGGAAGTCTCTATCATAAGAGAGAGGTACCAAATTAATGGAGAAAAAGGACTCAGAAGAAACTGAACCAGTGCCAGAGATAGGAGAGATGGAAAAATTGGGCCCATCCAGTGACCCGAGGCATAGAGCTGGGGACCAGACCCTCCTCCCACAACCAGCAATAGCACAGCAGCACCTCAGGGCCCACCTGTGGACCCAGGGCATGGAGAAAGGGTCCGGACCCCCCTCCAACAAACAGGCACACTGAGCCAGCGTCTCAGGGTTGCCTGGTGACCCGAGGCATGGAGAAGGGAACTGGATCCCTCTCCCACAACCAGGCACACTGTGCCAGTGCCTTGGGTTCTGCCTGGTGACCCAAGGCATGGAGCCAGGGAGTGGACACCTCTCCCACAACCAGGCACATGACGCCAATGCCTCAGGGCCTGTCAAGGTAGGGAGAAGGGGACCAGACACACCCCACAACCAGGCACATAGCCAGCGCCAAGGAGCATGCTAAAAACATCACCTCCGTGTGGGTGGCCTACCTCAGCCACCACAACAACCATGGGTGCCGCAAAAGTGGCTAGACACCACAACCACCCCACAGATGGTCCAACCACTAGAGTGCATTCACACAAGGAGAGTGACCAGCAGAGACCAAGAAAAGCAGAGGATGTCTCTCTCCACAAAGCCCATTCCAGAGTGACAGAAGAAGCATCTGCTCTATGATAATATTGGGGGACCCGATCACACCTCTCAGCATTGGACAGATCATCTAGGCAACAAGTTAACAGAGTAACCATTATTCTTTCAGAAGGAGAGAAGAAATCTAGGGTAATTAGAGGGGGGAGGGGAGGGAATGGGGGAAGGGGAAAGGTTTGACAAGGGGCATAAAGAATAATTACGATTTGTAACAATATATTTGCTAGTGATATTGATTTGATCAACATATCTCAGTGTTCAACCCCAAAAATATGGATAATTGATTTTGATTCAATAAATAAAATTAATTTAAAATAAATAAGTAAATAAATAAAATTAAAAACCTACCATTCCTCAAGAGGATATTGTTTTTTATCTGTCAGATTTTGGCAAAATAGAAGAATTGCTTTATGCTGTGTTATGCTCATGAGAAATGGGAGTGCTCCTTTATTAGAAGTGTAAAATTTTGTCTTATAATTTTTTATTCCAGCCTTGTTTGCAATAGTAAAATATTGGGAATTAACCATTAGGAGGCCAGTTAAATAAATAAATGGTAGTGAATCCACATTAGGAGTAAGCTCTACATTTCCTGATACGTGAAACATTCTTCAAAATCTATCATCATATGGAAAAAAGAGGATTCAAAACTGCGTGTATAGTACACTGCTGCTTGTGGGGAAAAAGAGGGAAAACTGTATATACACTATATATTCCATACAGAATAAACTAGTGACATTAATGGCTCCCAGGAAAGGCGACTGCAGCTGGCAGGCTTTGGGACAGGGGTTAGAAGGAGACTTTCCACTATGGACTCATTTTTGTACATTCAGAATTTGAACCTTATTAATGTATTACATCTTCAGAAAGCCCTGGCGGAACAAAGAGAACACATTGAAACAAGAGCAGGGTGCTGTGATAGGAACAAATGGAGAGCAAGGAAATGCTTGAGAATTCAGAAATAGTTAGCAGAAGTGACAGTCGCAGCAGAGCAGGAATGGTGGAAAGATTAAGTGGAGGAAATCTGCACAACGAAGAATAAAAGATAAAGGGAAGATGGAGAAAAGTAAATATTAAAGGAGCGACCCAGCAGATCCAGCATCCAACATGCAGGAACTCCAGAGGCAGGAGCAAAGAAAGCAAGGGAGGAAATTGTCAAAGAAATTACATGAGAAAAAGTTTCCATAACTTAAGGCACAGATTTCCAGGTCGAAAGTGCCTATGCATTCCCAGAATAACAAAGGAACAAAGATTGCCACAGTGTATATTACTATGGCATTTCAGAATAATAGAGAAGATCCAAGAGCATCCAGGAAGGAAAGAGAAAGAAATACGAATTAAAATGGCTTTGGACTTGTCAGTAGCAATACTAAAAGCTAGACAGCAATGTGCAGGCAGTGGTTCAGAAATTTAAAAGAAAATTATTGATTTTTAAAATGTGAGCATGATGGGCTGGCCCGGTGGCGCACTCGGTAGAGTGCAGCGCTTGGGAGCGTGGCGGCGCTCCCGCCGAGGGTTCAGATTCAATATAGAGACCGGTCCGCTCACTGGTTGAGCGCGGTGCGGGCGCGACACCGAGGGTTGCGATCCCGTTGCCAGTCGGGGTATGGGCGCAACACCGAGGGTTGCGATCCCATTGCCGGTCACGAAAAAAGACAAAAAGGAAAATAAAAATGTGAGCATGTACTACAAAAAAAATTAAAGCAAACAAATTTAAGTTTTCTTGTGTTGAAAATAGCCTATGACTGTGTACTTTGCACTCCAGGAAGCAGATTACCTGAATTTTAAATTGTCATCACTGCGCACCTTTTTGAAATCTTCCCTACAAAAGTTGTTTGGCTTAAGCATCAAAGCCATGACAATTTGTTCTTTGATGTGATTATTATTTCCAATGTCTCGTTCATGTAAGATTTCAATAAAACTCAAAAATCTACTAAAAAAAATGTGTGTATATATATAGATAGATAGATAGATACCCAATGCCACTGCAGATTTGGGGAAAATTTTTTTAAAGAAAATCATTCCCAACCTAGAATTCTGTGCCCTATCCAACGTGACTTCTGTACAGAGAGAAAATTAAGGTATTTTTCAGGCATGCTAATTTTTGAAAATTTAGCTCCTGCACACCCTTTTAAAGGATGCCAGTAGAGGAGAGAATGAACCAAGTAAGAGAATTAGAGAAATGGAGTGCCCCATATAAGAAACATGCAAAGGAAGGTGCATATGGTGCCCAGGCCGAGAGGACGTCTGGTCAACATTAGAGCAGAAGGCAGAGGGCTGCAGGAGGGGTGCCACCAGGGAGAGAGACCCATAAGCTATTTCTTAAACAGTGTGCTAGACCACACTGAAGTGTTTTAACATTCTGTAGGGAAGTTTGGGGCTGAATTAGTGATAGGTACATACAAAATTAAGCAAATAAAAAGAGGCAATTAGTAACTCAAGGAAAATTTAAAGTAACAAAGCACCTTAATTCTCCTCTTAAATATTAAAAATAAGAAATAGTAAAGAAGCAATCCTACTGCCTGATGGATATTTAAAATTTTTTTTAAAGTAGCAAAATACAGTTATAATTTACAGTGGCTCAACGTGTGAGCAATAGTTATATGATCGATAGTATAAATACTGAATTTAAAATGTACCAAAAATACAGGAAATGTGGGGAAGGTAGGTTTGAGTCAGTGGTGGAGAAAGTTCGGGAGGTGAGGTCTGCAAGTGAAAAGTGCACTCACAGTCTTAAAAATGCTGTTTATAAATATGGGTGAACGAATGAATGAGAGTAAATCCCGGAAAAGGCAGCCTTTGCATGGAAGGTGGTGCTGTCTGAGGAAGAGGACTGAGGGTAGAGCGGGTGGTCCCTGGCCTGCCCCCTGGGTTCGTACCAGTCCTGCACTGTAGCCTGTCTGGTGTTCACAGTCATGCCACGGATTACTGGACAAGAAGTAAAAGGAAAGCAGCAGCCCTCAGGGTCCCACAGCTAACTGCTCCACCTCAGAGGTGTTCTCTTAAAGTCTCTCCAGTCCAGGTACAGTAGATGAAGGCTTTAACTGTCCTTGGATATTCTATTTATTTCTTCTTCTGATTTGTAACAGTGGTTAAGACCCTGGGATATAGTGACTGTTTTTATTTTGACTAAAAGGGAAAATGGAAAAGTAAGCAAGCAGCTAGAAATGGTTACGTGCGAGTCTCTCGCAGCTGTTTTTTTGCATCTTTCTTGGAAGGACAAGCATTTTTTTTCTCCTGCCTTTTTGGCAGGTCATCAGCTTTTTGAGGGTTTTCCCTAGGGGCATGGACAATGTCGAGAGCTGGGAGAGCTGGGTCTGTGGGGACTTTGTTTTGTTTCCTTTTATTGATGTTTTGTTTTGCCCACCCCCCCTTTTTTTAAGGACACAGTATAGGAGAGGAATTTTGAGAACATAATTGAAAATCCTTCAATATTTTTTACTTTGAATAGAAATTAGAATAACTTAGTGTTTGGGCACTAGGATACTTTGGTCCTTATGTGGAACCTACCATTTATATCTTGGCATTGAAGACATTTCTTAACCAGGAATTTTTTTAATTGAGGTATAATTTACATTCCATAAAATTCACCATTTTTATGATATTGACAGAATTGCACAGCCATCGCCACTAACTCTGGAATATTTTTATCACCCCCAAAAGAAAACCCTGTACCCATTAGCAGTAACTCCCCCAACCCCTGGCAACCACTAGTATCCAGAATAGACAAATACCTGGACATTTCTGTCTCTGCGGATTTGCCTGTTCTGGATGTTTCATATAAATGGGATCATGCAATACACTTCTGTATCTAGCTTCTTTCCCTTCTTTTCAATATTCATCCATGTTGTAGCATGTATCATCAGTGTTCATCACTTTTTATGGCTGAAGAGTTTTTTGCTGTTTGGTTTTTGGATTTTTTTTTGTTTTTGGTTTCTTTGGAGGTATCTCTGAAGGGACCATGTCTCTTCCCTTGCTGCCTCCTCTTGAGTTTGCAGAAAAGTGTAAATAATGATGTCAAGAATAGAATCTAAAATGCCGAGAAAGCATCTCAGTACCTTTTTAAAAAATCTTATTTTGGAGCCATTTCAAGCTCATAGAAAAGCTGCAAGAACAGCACAAAGAGGCCGGCCCGGTGGCGCACTGCTACAGTGCACCGCTTGGGAGCGTGGCGGTGCTCCCGCCGAGGGTTCGGATCCCACATACAGACCGGTTCCCGCTCACTGGCTGAGCGAGGTGTGGGTGCGGCGCCGAGGGTTGTGGTCCCGTTGCCGGTCCCGGTCCGGTACGGGGGCGACACTGAGGGTTGCAATCCGTTGCCGGACACGAAAAAAGACAAAAAAAAAAGAACAGCACAAAGAACTCCTGCTGGCCCTTCTTCTGAGACACCTGGCTACCTTTTACCGGTTGCTCTTGCAGAATTCCAATCTAGGGTAAAACACTGCACCCATTTTAGCCTGTTTGTTCAGATTCTTCTTGGCGTCTCTGTGCAGCGTTCCTTCCTTCCAAGCATGGGGCACAGCCCCTTCTGAAATGGGGGTCTTATGACCCATGATCAGACAAAGTAGGTCAGAGAATTTCTTTATGGCCAGCTCCAAGACAGAAAGGTAGGGAAGATTGGAGGAAGCCAGGAACAATGGACAAAAACCAATGTGTATATATACTGTAATATTACATGGGACTTGCCGAATACTTTGGAGAGAGCTTTAGAAAGATGTTAATAGAACCCTAACAAACAAACAAGCATGTTATTCTTTTTAAGAAAAATAAAAAAAAATTTGTTGCAACAACTCTACACTTCCACCTCTAGTCCTTTACTTTATTATAACTATTAGGTTTCTCTATGGCCTCTTTCAGTCTTTAGCCATATATAGTCATAGATTTTTGTATAGTTGTAATAATACTGTATATGTGGTTTCGTATTCTACTATAAGAAAGTTTATATCTACATAGTCTTCACATATATTATGTTTAATAACAAAAAACTTTATGGTAAATTGCGGAGTTGTAATTTACTGAGCTATATTCCTTTTGTTAGACATTTGGATTTCCCACTAATGTTTTTTTGCCATTTTAAAAGATAATGGTATAGGCCGGCCCGGTGGCGCACTCGGTAGAGTGCAGCGCTTGGGAGTGCGGCGGCGCTCCCGCCGAGGGTTCGGATCCCATATAGAGACCACTCCGCTCACTGTTTGAGCGTGGTGCAGGCATGACACCGAGGGTTGCGATCCCGTTGCCGGTCGCGGTACGGGCACGACACCGAGGGTTGCGATCCCGTTACCGGTCACGAAAAACGACAAAAAGGGGGAAAAAAAAAAAAAAACTACCTTGTAAATCATTTCAGTGGAATGCACCCAAGTTAAGGGACAGGATTCAGGATTGGGGTTTGGAAGGGCTTGAGGGCCTTGTGTCCAGCAGGTCTCACACTGACCACCTCTGGGAGGCTTGTCACCCACACATCACTGTGCTCCATCCCGGGGGTTTCAGATTCCACAGGTCTGGGGTGGGCCCGAGGAGGTGCACGTCTGACAGACTCCCAGAGGCTGCCGAGAACCGTTGGTTATCATGGTCTCTGTTTTCCAGGTAACGAAGCTGAAATACAAAGTGTTCACAGGGTTGAAAGACTTTCCTAGGACATCGCCAGTAAATAAAGTAATAATTACATACGAATTTACCGAAATGAGTAAAAATGAAAAAAAGAAATGTCTGTACAGTCTGATAGTTGGGAAAAATCCAGCACTTCCAACTATTCAAAGGAACTCACATTGTTACATTCCCACTGTAGGAACGAAGTTAAGAAACAGAAAGTAGGTTAGCTGAGCCACTGTGAAGTTGAAGCTTAAGAGATGGCCGCGCCTTCGTCAGCTTAGACACACTCTGGGCCTTGTGAGGGTTGGAGCCCTTGGACCAAACAGAAGAACATCTTTACTTGAGCTTTTAAAAGGCACTTAATTAGCAGGGCTCTTGTCAAATACGAGGTTCATATGCTGTATGTAACTGTATTTACTTTTGGTAAAAAGCTTGAAAGGATATTTGTTTATTATTCAAATATCTCTTCTATGGATAAAAGAAAAGTAGAATGAATTCCAAACATACGTACAAAGTGCAAGTAAAAGGCTTCTTTTTCTCTGTGAGTAAAATGAGTTTCTTGCCGTTATTCTGAGAAGATCAAGAAGAAAATTACTGCTCAACTCACCAAAGCAGCTATTAATTGGAATAGCATATTTCAAAGCTCAGAACTGTGTTTGCGTCTGCACAAGGCAAAGTTATGTTTTTTATTCCTAAGCACTTAGGTTTTTAAGACTAAATATAGGAATCAAAGTATTACGGTCTTTCTGAGAAGTAATTTGGTAATATATATCAGAAGGTTCAACATTGTCTTTGAGCTCAGAATTCCATTTTTAGGAATTTATCCTAAGGAAAAATCGTGAGAGTGCAGTGGTTTCTTCATTTTGATATTTGTGAGCCTGAAAACTTCATGTGTTGTAAATCTAAAATATCCTAGGTTAAAAAAAAAAAAAAGAACACCATGGAAAACAGCTCATTAATAACATGTGAATATGTTAGACTGGCACAGAAGGTGGGCAAAGAGCAGTTACAAAGATGGACATCAGAATGTAAACAGTGGTGTGATTGTGGGTGACTTTATATTACTGTGATTTCTATAATGAATATATATACTGTGTTTTTCTCTTCTTAAATAAATGGAACGAGAAGTCTTTGTATACAGTTTTTAGAAAAAACTTCCTAATTTTTAATTTTGGAATTGTCCATTGTGTGATCTGCTTCCTGAACTTACTTTCTCTTGTCCAATACTTTATTTTTGAATTAAGTTACTTGAGCCTTTGTATTTTGCTTGTAGGGACCTTACCAGGACACCTTGGAATTTTTGTTGGGTAGTAGAGATGAATGTAAGAACTTCTGGAAGATTTGTGTGGAGTATCACACCTTTTTTAGACTTTTTGATCAACCTAAGCCAAAAGCAAAAGCCATCTTCTTCAGTCGGGGGTCCTCCTTCAGATACAGGTAGGGGCTGTGGCATGGGTTGCAGGGGCCTCTTGCTGGTTTGTAAAGCTGAGAATATAGGTAATTCCTAGCCAAGAAAGAAATGTAAAATGTTTCAGAGAACTCAATACAAAGTGTAGCTATTGAAAAAGGTAATGATGGAAACAGCGTATCAAATAAAATAGAGAAAAAAATGGGCTTAATAAAAGCTTTGTTTAGAAAATCAGTTGTAATTATTACAAAGTGTAACTTTAAAATAAATATGTGTATATTTATGAGAGATGAGCGAGTCTTTCTTTCCCTTTATTTTTGAAAAATTAATGCTGTGAATTACTGTTGTTTCTTTTTTAAAAATCTAAACCTTTGTTCACAGTGGAAGAACTCAGAAACAACTAGTAGATTGTGTCAAGGAGGGTGGGATGAAGAGAGCTCCATACGAAAGGTGAGCTCTGTGCTCTTTATGATGTGAAGTGTGTGCTTTTTAAAATTAATATTTTTAATATTTACTTAAAAGTCATTTCAAATACATAAACATGTATTTTGACATGAGTTCTGTTTGTATTTTGAAGAAAATGGATTTGTAATATCTTTATATAGATGTCATATACATATGCAGATATTACCTGTTAGTTTCTTTTTTCTATATTGCTTAGCTTATATATATGTTTTTATATAATATGATAAACTTTTAACCTGAAAATTTATGTTGTTTTTCTGCATGTAAAATTTTTCCTTTAATGTGGGTATATAATTTTGCCTCTTTTCGGGTATCTACTTTTTATCTGAATTATTTTGTGTTACTCCTGCTTGTTTCTAGTTAGATGTTTCTGTCTTAGCCACATTGGTATGTGAGTTTTTCTTCAGGAATACAGTTCATGCTTGCTGCTTTAAAAACAGGTATTGAGAAGAAGAATGTTTGATTGCTCACAGCTTATTCTCTGTTTTGCAGAAAGCACAGCAAGACTCGGATATCTATCCATGCTCTGACTGCAGACCAGCCAAAACAGGTTAGTCTTTTCTGGTTTAAAATATATGTGTGTGTATATATATATATATTTATAAATACATATACATACATACATATGTGTGTGTGTGTATATATATAGCCAATATTAATTACCTGTACTCTTTTGGAAAATAATCTGGCAATATTGTGACAAGAGTCTTAAAATTAGTTGTATCATTTAATGCAACGATTCCAATTCTGGGACTCTTTCCAGAAAGGAGTCCTAGATAGATAGAAAGCTTTGTGCATTGAAATGTGCATCATAGTGTTACTTGTGATACACTGTGAAATCCTGAACAACACTTATCTGTGCTGGATAACTTGCTAGCTACGTTTTAGCTGTATTCACTTAGTGGGATTTTTTGTACCCATTAAAAGCTCTGCTTAGGGGCCGGCCCGGTGGCGCACTGCTACCGTGCGCCACTTGGGAGTGTGGCGGCACTCCTGCCGAGGGTTCAGATCCCACATACAGACCGGCTGCTCACTGGCTGAGCGAGGTGCGGGCGAGCCACCGAGGGTTGCGATCCCGTTGCCGGTCCCGGTCCGGTATGGGCGTGACACTGAGGGTTGCGATCCGTTGCCGGTCACGAAAAAAGACAAAAAGGAAAAAAAAAAAAAAGCTCTGCTTATAAAGAGTATATAGTAACATGGGGAAGTTCTTGCTGTTATGTTAAGAGTGAAAGGCAGGAAACAAATTTACATCTGTACATGTCTGGCAGGATTGCAACTATATTAAAAGAAAGGCACACGCAAACACATCACAGAAAAACATTTGGCAGGAATGTCCCAAATGTGATAGCAGCTGTTCCACTTAGACATGGGCAACATTTTTGTTTCAGGTCTGCTTCACTACAGTCTCTTTGTGTATTCATGTTTGCATATCAACTTCCACATGCAAGCATGTTTTTACATCGGACCTTGCCATTTTCATGTAATATTATAACTATTTCCTCATGCTGCTGCAGTTTCTTATTTTTACAATTTTTATTTCTGTACAATGTTAGCTTTTGTTGATGGTTTGTCATCTTTACTGTCATAGAATTTCCAGGAGCTACACTCAGACCTCATATATCTAAGTTTATGTCCCCAGCTTTTTAAAAAATGGGTCTTTTAAATAAAAACATTATTTAACTCTTCTAGGTATGTTTTCTCTTCAGAAATTCCTTGTTAAATCAATTAAAATTAAAAGAAAATGTATTTTTAATTGTTCTTTCACAAAGTTCAAATTTAATGTCAAAGTATGAATCATCTAAAAATTAAATTTACACTTTGAATTTTCTTCTATTACATTTTAAACGTCACAAGAGAATATTGAGTATGGCTGAATGATTAAGAAAAAATAATATGATAAACATTTGAAAATAGATTAATCTTATGGATTGTGACTAGTATACTATTTTGTCTCTAAAGGTTAGTCACTGTGCATTATTTAGTATTTACTCAGTTCTACTTGGTTATATTTTGGTCCAACCACCCTCTTAATGACGTTGCTTGAGTACATATAGTAAGAGGTCTTCTCAAAGTGTGACTGCATCTCAGTGATAGCACATATGAGTGGTGACACTTAGCAAGTAAAGAGGGCTGGTTAGCGTTTTTGTGTGTGGAACTGTGTGTGAGGATATGGTAAGGGCACGTGGAGGAGCAGGTGCCACAGCATGGCTCATTGGCTTCTTCGCCATGGCCCCTCCAGAGTCCTTCATCTTGTTCATGAGCCTCTTCTTACTCACTCACTGTTTGGATCACTCCAGTCCCTTCGAAATGCCCCAGGGCTCCTGTGCCACCGATGTTGGCAAGGGGCATCCTAGGTAATGATTCTTGTCCTTCTGTTGTAAATGTGAATGGACTGATACGTGTCCCCACTCCCTGCTGGCAATAAATCTGGCAGGTGAGTGCCCGGTACTGTAGAAGTTGGCCTTGTTACCAGGATGTCCATGCTGTGGTTTGGGGTACAGTTGGCTGAGTGGAATGGCTCACTCCCTCTCCAGCTGTGTTTCATGCCTCAGTGAAACAATGAATGCCCCAATTCATTCGCTTGTCACTTCAGGGTGACTGGGGATGCCACTGAGATGGAACACATGATGGAGATCTTAATTACTGTGGACATTTCATACCACAAGAAAAAAATGGAATTATAAGAGTTTATAAGCAGATATCCTAGGTCAGTTTGCAATGGCATCTATCTATCTACATTTTAAAATCTTAAGTTCTAAAAGGGAATGTCTCATCAATCACCCTTTTTGTAAAAGCTGTGATAGAAATGTGTAGATATCCTAAGTTAGGCCCATTTGATTTTGCAACTCCTAATGGCAATTTTTAATTTTATATGATCTTTTTTTTTCTTTTCTTAATTTTGATCCCCAGAGCATCTCATTCACTGAGGGATGGAGGACTTCTGCCTCCCCATCTTCAGCAAATGCCTCCTCTTATCTGTTCCCTACCTCTGCTTTGACCACCCCTGGCCTGCTCGACTTCAAGGACAGCAGCGGCTCCCTTATGGATTCCCAGGTTTCCTATGTCAAGAGTCCAGCTGCAGAGAGGAGCAGCAGAGCAGCGGCTGAAGGCCCTGACACGCAATCGGCCCAGACCTCTGGGCCCCCCACGCTCCAGCCTGTTCCAGGTGTCAGGTTTTGTCATGTTGTGAGCAGTTGTGGTTCCATCTGTCCTTCAGGGCAGAGTCTCAGTGCCTTAGACCTAGATGCAGGGAGGGCTGACGGGGAGCACAGAACTGCTGGTAAAAATGACAATGGTGAGGATGACTTTACCACAGGCTTGTTCCATCCCAGTGGGGAGCACTGGTGTGACCGGCAGTGCCGAGGGGGTGGCCCTGTTTTCACATTGACAAATACTCAGCTGCAGGTCTCTGAAGAGTTCATAGATGATGATCCAGCAGACATCTCTTTCTTTGCTGGAGGCTCTGAGGCATTCTCTTTCCCATACAGCTCTTTAATCTCACAGGAACCTCGGGTACCTGCCCAGCCCACCGCATCCCCTCCTTTGTGTGGTCCAGATGCCTTCCGGCATCCGGAGTCTGCTCAGTCCAGCCCAGACAGGTACTCCACTGAGGCAGTAGACATGAACGTAGAAGACGATTTTGAATTTGAGGAAGAAAGTGACTTCAATGGCAATGTGCACCCCTCAGACACCTCCGAGCTCTTTGAGGTGAAGGCACAAGCAAGCCTGATGCAGAGCCTGTTGAGTCCTTCTGAGACTAGCTCTCTTAGGAACAATCAGTCTGAAAACAGCTCCCTCAATAACATGCCGCTGCATGGCGGGCTCTCTTCGCACATGTCCAGCTCGGCCAATCAGTCTGAGGCCAGCTCTATGGTCAACTTCCCAGCCTACTCAGTCCGGTCAGAATCCAGCTCAGCCTTCCAGTTCTCTGACATCATCGACCAGTTAGAGCAGCTCAGCTACCCGCCCACAACAGCTGAGGACTCCAGCAGCACAGACACAGATTCGTGGGACTCCGAGGCTGAGGCCCCCCTAGACGTGAGCCTTTTCTTCAGCAACTCTTTCGCACAGACAAGTGGAGAGAGAGTCACTTTCGATTTACAGAACAATTTAAAGAATCTGACTCCAGGAGAGCAGATAGATAAAAACCCATCTTGACCATTCCAGGTTCCTTTACAAGGTGACCCACCCACCTACTCTGTGTAGTTAGAGCTCAGAATTGTTTGGGTTAGACATAGGAAGTGATTTTGAGTTCATGGCTAGATATTCTATTTTTTTCTAACTCTCGGATTTATTACATTATTTTTTTGAATGTCAATTAAAACTTTCACTTGGAATGATGTTAAAAGCTGTGCATCCAGTTTAAAATAGATGAGTATTTCCAGCTAATCCTCCTAGAAAGCTGATAAATTATGTAGCTTTATTTTTTGACATGTGTTTTGATTCAATTACAAACTGGTGCTATACATTTTGAATGTTACTCAGTTCTGATTCATGTTGGTCTTTACTAGAATAAGTGTATTATACCTATTAATGCTGCTTTGAAGAGGTGAGCCATGCTGCCCATGATTAATTAGAACAGAGGTTATGTCTGATTTGTGCAGTCGGTGCACTGCACAGAATCTCAACTGTGCCTTCACCGAATCCTAACCCTGGGAAAGGCACGTAGAGGCTGCAGCCTCCTGCCTGCCAGGATTTCCAGCTGCACTGGGGGATAGATAGGTGGTGTCCCTGGAATTGTCCCAGTGCCAAAGGCATCATCTCATTATTAGCGAATCCTAACCCTGGGAAAGGCACGTAGAGGCTGCAGCCTCCTGCCTGCCAGGATTTCCAGTTGCACTGGGGGATAGATAGGTGGTGTCCCTGGAATTGTCCCAGTGCCAAAGGCATCATCTCATTATTAACTTGAGACCCAGAAATAGTGCTGTGTTTAGATGTGGGCTTGGAGAGGCATTGGTTTAAAATGCACATATGTAAGTTTGAACTGTTTTCTTTTGTTCACCTTAATTGAGGGTGAACTGGATGTATGGTTGCTGAAAATGCAGAACCAGACACTCAAATCGGCCTTAAGAGTCATTGTGTAGGCTGGTACAGGAGACTTTTTTTTTTTTTTTTTGACTGACAGAGTGAGTTAGTTAAAAACAGTAAACAGACTAGGAACTCCCCAGAATGTGTAAGAGGCTTGAATTTTCACTTTCTTTAGGAACAATGTTTCTTTTCCATCAGGTGGTTTGTAAAACACAATTGCCGGTTGATTGCCAGTCTTTTATACCGTCACAGATATTGTTCTGTCCCAAGGCAGTTGGGAAGGGTCATGTGAGCAGATGGGCTGAGATGGTCCTGCCCACCTGTGCCGGCCATCCCAAGGTACAACACGGGTGCCATGGCCCTGCAGGCGCCATGGGGTGGGGTGCTCCTCCGTATAAAAATAAACCACCATGAAAGTTAGGGCTGATGCTCATGGCACAGACTGGATGCATCTGACTGGATGTCAGAGGAGAAGCCACCGCCACGTGGCCTAGCACCCCTCGAGTGCTCAACTCAGGCTGGCCCTGGGTGGACACTGTTGAGCTGTCAGGTCCACAGACTGGGTTTTGTTTCTTGGGTTTTTGTTGTTGTTCCTTCTTTCTAGTCTTATCCACTAGTGCAATATCATATTTAAAGTTTAATTTTCTTCTCAAAATATCCTGTGGAAACTTTAAACATTCACTTCTATTCCAGGTAAGACCTCTGATTCTTTGCCTGGATGGGTTTACTGTGTTTGCACAGAGAGCATGTGGCTCGGGGGTCTCTTAGAGCTTTCAGGGCATGCTGAGTGTCAGTCTTTCTTTTCCTATTAGTATGGGTTGGATACTAGTGGAGGGGTTGTAGCTAAATGTTTGAGTAATTTTCTATTTTTGTAGTTTCTTGAAACCTGAACTGCAGTCTCATCATTTACTTGTCTGCACGGCTGGTACTTGCAGTGTGCTCAGTTGTTTATTCTGTCCCCTTCCCACTTAGACCCAACTTCTCAATGCTTTATAGGCAGTTGGATATACAGCTTTCCATGGTGGCTGACTAGTATCTGTGAAAAGATTGTGTAACTGCGTTGATGATAGACGTGGTGTAGTTCAGAACACTAATTAGATCAGGACTGCTTGGGACATTTTGTTTTTTCCCATTGTGTCACTCCAGAAATAAACCTTGCATTTGTCTGGTATGGTTAATATATTTTACATTTAAGATGTTTTTCCTAACTCGGTGCTCACAGGATGGCTGATGGCTGCCTCTTCCTCAGCTGATACCTAACTGATGCACCTCTTGGTGCTGTGAACTAACAAAGTTATCCTTTTTCTTTTTTTAATAAAGGAAACCCACCCTAGTGTCTGGGCAGCAGGTCAGATTTAGGTGGATTTGAACCACCTCTGCTGCTGCGCTCAGGTGACCACTTCCTGGGGAAGCAGTGCTGTGGGAAAGTGGGGTGTTCCCTGTGGAGGGGGTGGGGCCGTGCCCCTGAGGCAGTGTATCTCATCACACTCTAGTCTTGGAGATTCTGAAAAAATTATGTTCTCAGCTGTCTCTACTAGGCCTCTTATAAAACGGGTTTTATTGTTTGTTTTTGTTAATGGAGCTTCACTTTTTGGAAATAATTTTTTAGTTTTTGATTTAGAAAGTTTTCAAAATGTACAAGATCAGAAAGAGGAATACAGTTGTCCCTCGATATCTGTGGGAGGTTCCAGGACCTCCCACAAGTACCAAAATCCATGGATGCTTAAGTCCCTGATATAAAATGGTGTAGCATTTGCATATAACCTACGCACATCTTCCTGTATACTTTAAATAATCTCTAGGTTACTTATAATGCCTAATACAATGTAAATGCTATGCAAATAGTTGTTTTACTGTATTGTTTAGGGAATAGTGGCAAGGAAAAAAATGTCTGTACATGTTCAGTACAGATGCGATTTTTAAAAGTATCTTTGATCTGCGGTTGGTTGATTCTGTAGACGCGAAGCCTGTGGATGTGGAGGGCTGACTGTGTACTACGCCCGTCGTCCCTCGTTCAGCGTTACTGATACTTGACCATGCTTGCTCCATCAATCCCTTTCTTCTTTCCTTCTGAAACTGTTGTATAGTAGTTTAAAGAAGACCTCGGACATGCTAACGACGTTCCTCAGAATTTCTGCATGTATTTCTGAAACATAAGGACACTTTCTTACATAACCCACATATACATTATCATCTAAAATTAGTAATTCCTTGCTATCATCTAATACTGAGAATACCCTTAAATTCCCCAGTTGCCTTTAAAATGCCCATTGACATTTGGTTTGTTTAAATCCCAGTCCAAACACAATCCACTCACTACATGTTACATTTCATTTAGAAGAACACCACCACCACCACCACCCCTTTTCATGCCAGCGACTTGTGGAGGAAGTCAGGCCAGTGGTCCTGCCGCACGTCACACAGTCCAGACCAGCCCCTCGAGCCTTTGCCCTCTGGAGTCTGGACCTGCCACTGCGCTGACCAGGACAGAGCTATGGGCCACACAAAGCACTTTGGATCTAAGTCACTGCTGAGCACCCAGTCCCTCGGTCACACCAGTTCCATCCTTTCTGATCTTGTTGAGTGGTGCAACATCACATTTGAACTTTGACTTTCTTCCTAAAATGTCCTGTGGCCAGCGGCTCCTTGGGGGACAGAGCAGCTCTAGGACTAGCCCAGCGTCCCAGATGCTCTGTGGACAGCACCAGTGAAGGTGTGATTTTCAGATTCAGATTAACTTTTTGGCAAGATCTGGATAGTTTTGATAGCTTTCCTTTTCCAGAATATTCATAATACTTATAAATGTGTTGCAACTTTTCCTTCATAATGAAATAATTTTCAAGAAAATCATTGTGGATTTATTCTGAGTCACGGTTCTCGGGTCCCTTTCCCTTTTAAGCAGGTTGTGATGCCCACCTAGAGGGGATTTAGAAACTGAAGGTGAAGGGAGAGAGTGTAGGCACAATGGCTTTAGAACCCAAAAAACATTTTCTCCTACAAGTTATGTCTTTCTCCTTGTAGCAGTTAGCTTACACAGTGACATGATTCCTTTTCACCTTAATAAAAGGTGGTTTATAGTAGTTAAATATTAAAACATCTAAAACAGTTTAGCCTGAAGCCACTGAGCCCTGAACCAGCATTAGGCCTTTCTTTTGTTTGTGGATGGTGCTGTGTGGCTCCTCCGTGTTGGGTAGTGCACCAGCTGGGCGGCAGGCCTGATACACCCTGACTGTAGGGCAGAGTGCTCAGTTTGAGGGAAGTCTGCAGACTTGAACCAGCACTTCTTATGTCTGGAGCCAGCATACTGAGAGTGGGTCAGTGCAAGTGTCTGCAAAATGTTGCCAATTCTCTTTTAATCTATCAGTCTCCTTAGTTACATCCAGAACCTTGCAGGTGGACAGTTGTCAGGCTCTGCCTATGGCCTCAGGCAGGATGCGTGTTGGACTGGCAGCTCGTAGCAGGGCTTGCCTAAGGGTTTTGATCACAGCCAGGTATGTCCTTGCAGACAGGTGACTGCAACCAGGTGTATCCGTGCAGGCAAGTGACTGCAGCCAGGTGTGTTCACACAGATAGGTTATGTGTTCCTGCAGCAGTCTCGTATGGTGCAAGGCCACCAGCATGCAGTGCCTGTTATACCGTTAAGTCTACCACTTACAATACGTTCTGCTATAGGTAGATTTTTTTAATTGTTTTCAAGCCTATTTTTGTATTTAAGTTTCCAAAGTCCAGGTATTTTTAGATAAGCCAATATATGAATATTATGAGTCTAACAGTAGTATAACGATGTGTTAATAAGATTGACTACACTAAGAAATATGTAATGGTGTATACTATGTAGTTTTTAAAAATCATTAGGTATTGATATGTGCCTTTTTTATATTACAAAGGAATTCACTTAGGATTCCGTTTCAGTTAATACACGTTTTTAAATAAGTGCTAATAATTGAGGATGGGCAATAGCAAACCAAAAAAAGAGTTTATACGAAAACCTTTTAAACCTGTCGGTTAAGTCATTCCCATTATTGTCATTTTGCCAAGGGTGATTCAGTTCTTTTTCATTTCTTTGGTGTATGGGTATATTTTGATTTTTAATGCAAGATCCTCTGCTGTTCTACTGCCCTTAGGAGTGATTGTAAGGCATCACGTGTGCGGTGGTCGTGACCATGTAGTGACAGGCACAGCACGTGTCCTTAGCTGTTATGTGTTTATGTGACATTTGATGCTAATACATATGTCTTCAAGGTACGCTTATTCCCTCCTGGCTCATGAAACATCAAAAAATAAATCCATTACTAGAACAATTCCTTTATAGACAAAAATGTTGATGTCCTCTTGGGGACTCAGAGTGGAGAATGTTGATATTTGTTCTCAAGTCCCTGGAATTGTATCTGCCGTGGTCTGACTTTGGCGCTTGTCTTAAGGCTGTGTGTGCAGAGGGCACCATCACAGGTGGCTGGGGTGCGGACTGACACTGTCAGCCCCTCTCTCCATGAAGTTGCCCGTGCCTTGGTGTCCCCAGTTCACCAGGGACTATCTTTTGCACGTAAGCATTCATGTTCCCCTAGACAATGAAGAGAAGATGGGCGGCATCTCCTTATGCATTTGAACTTGTTCATTCTTCAAAGAGACATTTTTGTTGTCTGATTTGTGGTACTTATAAAATTTGTTTTCCACTGAAACTGCCTTTTATAAATTTGCAGATATGTACTAATTTAG